AGGTCCATTTACCATTTACCATGGATTCCAGTCACGTCAAACTGACAGTACTGGGTGGGGGATTACATATGCCATCTGTCATGGGAAGGCTTGGGAAAAGGGCTACCTTTCTTAGCAGGCTTAGATTTAGATAAATGGTGGAAAATTGATGGGTTTAGAGCCAGTCAATGCTCCTTGTTAAAACCTTACTGTGAATCTAACGCAACCCTGCATCAACCTTATATTCTGTGGCATCACACACACCCATTGAATTATATGCAAATTACTGAATAACATTGTTTCTTACGTTTGTTTCTACTCCACAGTGCAGCATTTGGGCCCAGTAAACAGGAAGAAGAGGACTATGAAGATGTTCCCATAAATAAGACCTGGGTCCTATCACCGAAGGTCTATGAGAGCGATGTGACTTTGATCCTAAATAAACTGCTGCAGGGCTATGACAACAAACTGCGGCCTGACATCGGAGGCAAGTCCAGTTCATCCTCTGGAAATGTGCTTTGTTTCATCTTTGTTACCACAACACATTCTACTCACAGCGATGCGGGGGACTTCAAAAGAAGTCTGTAAATATCTTTGTGCAGTTAAGGGGACTGCCTTGTAGGGCTGTGCACCTCCATCACTGAGGCCATGATACATGATATGATACATTAAAGAAACATTTGAAGCAACTACTAATGCGATACAACCAGCCAACAATGGGAAACAAGTGCAATTTGAGTGCAAAGATAGAGTGATTTGAGACTAAAAACTGCACATATCTATCATTTTTGCTATGTGAAAATGCGAGTACTCTATACGTTGAACAAATACTGACGTCCAAACGGCCTGAAGTTTTACCCCTTCTTCTATTTAAGAGAGATAAATCACTTGACACCAATTTTGAGCAATATTGACTGCACTTTATATGAACTAATTTTAACGCCAAAAAAGAAGAAGTAGATTCCAAAACCCATCATGCATCGAATCAGCTAACACCATTGTCATGACCTTTATTTAGGCAAAAAGGATGATCTATGGTAATACAATAGGGATAGGATGCTGTTCTTTGTTGTAGATAACTTTATGATTTAGATTGACAAGACAGACAGCATATTTTTGGACATCAGCTAACGTGTACAACATCTGATGCTGTCTATGTCAATCCAGTGTGTCCTATGTTATGTTTTAGTGAGGCCAACGGTGATTGAAACAGCCGTGTATGTCAACAGCATTGGACCAGTGGACCCCATCAACATGGTGAGACAGCTTCTTCTTCTATTTCCCTTTGCTTTTTGTCTGCTGATATAATAGATAATGGATAGATAAATTACCAACTTTCTAATTATGTTATTACACTTTTACAGTTTTAGGAAGACATTGTGATTTATTCTCTGTGGACTAAATTAATGGCTGTACATCCAATAGTTGAGTGCAAAAGTTAATTCTTTGCCTTGCAAATGGTATTTCAACACAAGACAAAAACCTTCACTCAAGGTCAACATGCTTTCAAACTCCATCCATTAGAGAAGAAAGAAAGAAAGTAAAAAAAAAATCTATTAGGTGGACCTTGATTTGACATTTATATTTGTTGGATTTTCTAATTCTGTTGCAGGAATATACCATTGACATCTTCTTTGCCCAGACATGGTATGACAGCCGACTCAAGTTTAACAGCTCTATGAAGCTGCTCATGCTCAACAGTAACATGGTAGGCAAAATCTGGATTCCAGACACATTCTTCAGGAACTCCCGCAAATCAGATGCACACTGGATTACCACTCCCAACCGTCTCCTGAGGCTGTGGAGCAACGGGAGGGTCATGTACACACTAAGGTAGGACAGTTAGGTGCCCAGTTTGCTAATCGTTTTTTGGTAGCCATTTTTTTTGTTGAACTATCAACTTTTTTTGTTGTTTGTGCAGCTTTAGTGTGTGCATCTGTTTTTATCATGTAGTTCTCTTTTAGGTGACCCCAATTTGTCAAAGCATGATGTAATGGTCATTATTTTTTTCTGCATTTGTTGGTGTAATTAGAGAGAGAACATGAAGTACCATTACTATGTTCAGTCACACTTGGGAGGGAAAAAAACAACACTGAGACTTGCTTTTTCTCTGTCACAATTCTGTTTCTGTCAGGTTGACTATTAATGCGGAGTGTTACCTTAAGCTGCATAACTTTCCAATGGATGAGCACTCGTGTCCACTGGAGTTTTCAAGCTGTAGGTGGTCAAACGTTTTCCCCTCCCATTTTTGAACCCGCCATCTCGATTTCAACTTTCGTAACTTGCCCAGGAGAGGGGCGTTTGTGTGGGCTAGCATAGTGGCTAAGCCCTTGTTCCTTCTCTTAGCCAGAAGGCCCATCTGCTTGAGGCTGCCCTCTCTAAGCCTGTACCAATCTATCATCTGCTCCACCAGCGGAGAGAGGAGGTCACCCAGTCCCATTTTCTCTGACAGACTTAATGAATTATGCACCCTCTCCCAGTCTGATTCATGCTGTCTGTGCCATCTTTCATTCGTCTCTTGCATTGTGCTTTAGCCTCTCATGTCTTGTCATGATCTAAATCTTCCACACTCTAGTGAAAAATGCAAAGCCCATTTCATGGAGTTGAGGACAAATGTCAGGACCAGTACAGTCACACTAAATGTCATCAAATGAGCACAGACCAGTGGTAATTTCATAAACAAAAACGACTTAACAACTAATGAGACCTCACCTTAAAAACAGAATTGGTAATTTGTTTAAATGCCTGAAAGAACATACAAGCAAGCATCCTGTTACAGATTTGCCAATAACACGTCCTCATACCTAAACAACTGAATAGGTTTAAATAGGGTAATGAAATGCTAATGCAAACAAATGACAACAATTAACAGAATATGTGCGCAGTATTGAATTATTACTATTAGGTGATTCAGAAGCAATGGTGGATTTTGTGGATGGCAGTAAGTTTAAAAATTACGAGACGTAATTTTTAGAACTACCGATGGCCCTAATCGAAATTCTCTTAAACCTTAAAAGAATGGGAATCAAAGCTTACAGACAGAGCACCAGCTCTTTTTCATGTGGTGGTGGAACCCAGCCGTGTACCGGGAGGTCCAGCCTACTTTGTTTTGTAGATGGAACTTGGAAGGATTCCAGGCCCTTGGCTTTCCTCCTAGCTCGACCCAGGCTTTGCATCAGCTGATCCAACAGGCCGAAGGAAGTTGCGTCTGTCCGGTCCCTGGTACTCCAAAGGCCCAGCGAGTAGTTTTACGGCTTGAGTGCGTTGGAGGCAGGAGAGTCCGCTGGCGATATATGTCTTTGTTCGGCTGGAAACGTTTGTACGTTCTTCTTGAGCAGTCAACTACTGCGGCGCCTTCTGGCTGATGATAAATGTCTTTTGGAGGTGGTTGGTCTTCAGCTTTGATTGTAAACTAATTTAACTTCTTGTTCGAAAATAACTTGGGGATGGAAACGCTGGCCTGCGAATCCTCCCGTAGTCAATAAATCCAAGAATTAGTTAAATTATTCACTTTCTGTGAATAAGGCGACAATACTTGACGACTACAAAATGAAAAAAGAAGAAATTCGTTCGTGACTTGAAGCTTTTAAAATAAAAGTATATAGAAAAGTACTCAGCACCGCAAGTTATTACTTGGAGGAAAATTCAAACACGGTCGCAACACGAAAGTATGGAAATTAAAATTTAAGCACGAGGAGTAAATAACAAGTCGATCCAACACTTCTTTTAAGAAGTGGAGAAGAGACAGAAGAGAAGATTATGAGTAAAGTAAAAAGGTGACGACGGGGAGACTGGAGTTTATCCCCCTTTTATATCTCTTATTCTGGAGGGCGAAACCTGGACGCGGGAGAGGCTGACCCGGCACTTTCGCGTTCCACTTCCTCTTTGTCGGATTTCCTGGGCTTTTGAATTAACCGTAACTTTAATCAACCTCCTACTCGCCTTATCGTGTTTTTAAAGTTTTGAGATCCATGATTCACCGTTCACAGGAACCCACCCCATGACTTGATAGCATAGTTTACATGTTTTAACATTAAGCATAAGTATAAACCCAAAAGTCCGGTTTGACAAATACCTTGACGTCTATAGCCAGAATCTTACCAAAAGGCTGGCACTGTGGCGCTCCCATTCAAACACTCAGACATTTTATTCATTGATTTCTGCTAAACTTAGCCAAATCTGAAGACAGGAAGCATCCAGGACAACCTTACATTTGCGACCTTCTCGCTGCCTGGCCATGGCAATCTGTTAATGTAGGGAGGAGGGATGGGAAATTTCCACAATAGGGTAAAATGGAGAACTAAATCTATATTTACTGCCCAGAGCGCCGTTTTCTGCTGCAGTATTTTGGAATGCTCAGGGCTTCTTACATTGGCCTCTCTGAAATCACTCTTTAACAGCCCAGAGAATGACAGCGTTGGCCAGATTGTGGATTCCAAAAGGCGGAGTTTCTTCCTGGGGTGGAGCCTGTCCAGACTAAAAGACCACACCATTTCCAGGGAATCCTACGCCTGATTTTACAGTCCAAAAAGGCAGCTTAATTATCGACACATTCTCTTGTAAGCCAACAACATTGCGTTTCCCAAACCCTGAGTGGTAGAGTGTCCTTTTATCTGCTAGAAGAGAGAGCTGCACGCCCATAAACTAAAAAGAGCGTGGATGACCACTGTTATCCCCCATGAGTGATCAGCCCCAGAGACAGGCTTCCCTTCCTGTCGAAGGACTGCTTTGGTACGGCCGAGTCTTATCTCCTTTCCGGCGGGTCAAAAGGGTTCCCCCAGAGAAAGGAGGCCCTTTCTGACTCTCCTGCGTGGAACATTAATGCAACAATTTTAATAGGATGATTGGTTGGCATTAAGAGGGATGGATAAAACGTCTCTTGTAGAGGAAGACGAGGACAAGGTCCTACAATCTCTTTAGAATAAGTCCTTGCACTTCCAAGCATGGTTCTTTGTTCCCAACCGGCCGATTAGACCCAGTTGGGGTTTTATTGGGGGACCCGGTTGCTGGTTTCCGGCTGCTGGCTGCCGTGGGAGAACGGATCGTGTCATGTGCTGCTGGGAAGTATTCTTTTTCTTGACATCTTCTAAATATTTATACCATGTCAAACCCATTGCAATTAATACATCATATATTCATTGAAAATGCTAAAAAAATAATATAATTAGGAAAAAAGGAGACGTTATTTCCCATGAAGACAAAGGTGGGTAATACAAGTGTCAAGTGGAAAGAAAATATTTAAAATCATGATGATGTGACATTTGTTGGGGGTCCTGTTCTAATCGAAATGTGTTGGGTCTGACATCTGCGGGGAGAATAACATGTTGTGGGCCCCCAGGGGCGTCTTCTTCATCCACTACAGTGGCTTAATTATGATGCTGTTGGTCACCACCATTTAGCCCTCGTAATAGCTGTGATTGAATTTGCGGCCCCCTCGAGGGTGCGCTCCCATGTCGTCCTGCCATAATAAAACACACGAGCCGCGTGCTAGCCACCTTCTTTTGGGTGCCATCCACAAATTGTCCTCCTTGGAGCGGCGCACATCTTACAGGCATTCCGAGCATACCACACAGTGCATGATCATACCTATAAAGCTTAAAAATCTAAATGACCACCTCCACTTTCCGACATTGACTTTACAAGGACGCGAACCCAACACTTTTCGGCCTGTTAGGCTTCTTCCCCCAGGTTTCACTAGTTTAGAATTAGCAAGCCCTCCCACAGGTGTTGATGGATTACGGCCTGGGGGCATCTGGGTCAGCCACAAGCCAGCTTATTAAAGTTCTTACATTTTC